CCTTAACTGGCTTTAGGTGCTCTAATTACCCTGTAGTAACCTCTCCTCAGTCCACAGGGAATAAGGCCTTAATCATCCTGGGGCTTATATACCTCCTGTCTATCACTCACCTGCTGCCCTCTGGCCCTGCTGTATCACAGTACTAATAAAGATTATATAATAATCTAGCAAAAGGTTTCTAAAACTATTAATGATAGAAAATCTACATTAACCTTTGTTCAGCAAAGTACCGTATGTGCCATATTTAAACAATAGCTGGAGCAATGTAATTTATTAATATGACTATAGCAGAAAATATTACATTCATGTTCATGGATTTATTAGGTTTCAATACTTCACTTACTGACACTGTTAGGTTTCCCCAAGGTATGTCCGATGCAGAGATATTGTGGTCATTCCAATATTGCAAGGTCTTATTGCTAGGATTATGTGGCTCCACACAACTACATCTGAAAAGATAAAGAAGTAATTTTTTTATATTTACTTACGAAATTCAAACTCTTTATTACGCTTATGGCATTATTATATTAAAATGATGCTCTACTTTTTAATATAATTTTAGTTCAATTTAATTCAGTGAATTCTTGTTATGGAGCTGAATATAGATCAATAGTTATCAGTACTACAGGAGCATATTTCACAGTGAAGTACATGTGCATATATAGTACATAACATTGTGGTGACACATGTAACTGATTATACACAGTAACACAATTTTCTTTTTATTCTATTGATGTACTCCAGATTTCATTAAGAGCACTGACTTGCTATTGAGTATGTGCCAGTGCTATTAAGCCCATATCTCTGAAGTTTCCTGCATAGAGATGACCTATTATTCATGGCTCTGGGCTCTAGAGTCATGCATTCCTCAGACTCTAACCGTGCTGGGTTTCCTCTCTCTCTTTTGTAATTGTCCTGACAAACCCGCAGGACAAATGTCAGGGTTTTGCATGATCCCCAGGACATGCCGCACTGCATCTGCCATTTTCCCCCTCCTCCACAGCTGCTCTTAAAGTTTCATTTTCATTTTAAAGTTTGTATTTGAACACAGGAAATGTGGCAGAGGCAGCGTGGGAGGACAATGCTCCAAACATGCAATTTAAAATGAAAATTAAGTCTTAAGCATCTGAAGCAGCTGTGGGTGGCTTGCTCCTCAGCAGAGTCTTAAAGAGTATGTACGGTACTTTGCAGGAAAAAGGAAAAAAATCTTGCCTTGCAGCATTCTTCAGTCAAGCACACTTAAAACCTACAGTACAAAACTAGCAATAACAGCTGCAAAAAATGCTGTGCCCCACTTAGTGTTAAACATTTCATGGGCAGCTGTGGACTGGTAGACTAAGCGTAGGGTGGGAGTCACTAGATCTATATTCAAATCTTGACTCTGCCACTGAACCATAGTATGCACTTAGACAAGTCATTAACTGTGCCTGTTTCCCTATCCACTGAATAGGGATAAGAATTTTCACCCAGGTTTATAAAGTAAGATGAAAACTGCAGCTCTCTATACTGCAAAGCACAAAGTAGATTTCCACTGAAGTACTATACATGTGACCCAGAGGTGAAAGTAAGCTGGTACGGTATGGTACGGTGTACCAGCAAGAGCTGGTACGCCATGCCGGACTGGACCGGCTTCCCCAGGCCAGCGATTTAAAGGGCCTGGGGCTCCCGTCAGCGGCCAGCCTCCCGGGCCCTTTAAATTGCGAACAAGGCCAGGAGTAGCAGCAGCAGATGGGAGCCCCTGGGGCCCCATCAGCCATTTAAAGGGCCCGGAGCTCCGCTGCAGTAGCGGCAGCTGGAGCCCCAGGCCCTTTAAATCACTCCCTAGTCCTGGGGCTCCCAGCCGCCTCTGCAGCTGGTAGCTCTGGGGGTGATTTAAAGGGCCTGGGACTCCCAGCCACCACTACTGCAGCGGGATTTAAAGGGCCAGGGGATTTTAAAGGCCCCGCCTCTTCCAGTTAAGACCCCACCCCCTGCTCAGGACTCCGGAGTACTGGTAAATCCTTTAAGTTACTTTCACCTCTGATGTGACCCCACACCTGCATTTAACATATAGAGACATATTTTCTTTGTAGACCTCCTTGGTTTTACTTTAAATTAAATCATATTATTAAAAATGAAACAAACAATGAAAAAAACAACAACCCACGAACAAGGAACATAAAATAAAGCAACAGCATACAAAGAAACTTAGAAATGGACGCCCTGATCCAAAGTCACTTGAATTTTTCAACAGGCTTCAATGAGCTTTGTATCACACTCTGAATGCAGAGTAAGTGGGTTCAAAACTTAGTTCAAAATATTATTGAACAAAATAAATAGAACACATACATTAATACTGGATTAAAGTAGCATAATAAAGCTGATGCATGACAATGTATCAGCTACATTATTGCAAGGAAATACATGGTTTTTGTGTAATAATGCACATGTGTCTATTTCCAGTTACTATTTCCTGTGAACACACTGGGGCAGAAGCTTCCTGCCCCCTGAAGTCCAGTGCTGATCACAGATTGGCCAGACAGTGTGATACGGCCCATTAGCTTTGTGATTACAATAGCCAGGGTGATACAGGGCACCTCTTTCTCAATAGAAGGGAAGACTGTGCATGTCACCAATACTAAACTGTATATCTGAATGAGTTATAAATTATAAAGTTACATTTAAAAGCTAGATACACTATGCAAAACGTTTCTAACTCCTTACAGTCAGAAGTGTGATAACTGTTGAGAGGATTTAATAAATATTCTGAGTAATTTACCTTTTGGAATTTCATAATTCTGACAATAAAAATCAAACACCTGAAAATATTGGGTGTATTTTGTGGTTGGGTCAGTCACATTGTATAACGCTATATAAATAGATCCCTTCTCACCAGTGTTATCACCGACTCCTTCCCAGGGAGTCATGAAGCTCTAGTCTAGCATTTACTAAATTCCATAGATGTTTGTTAGAGGCAGACCATTTATCTGCAGGATATTTGTGTAAGTACAGTCCACACAGGCCAAATCTTGAGCCTGCACCATTAAAGTCAATGTGAGTCTTGCCACACTTTTGTTTTCTACCAGAAAACACTTTTGTTTTCTACCAGATACACGGAATTAAAGCCAAAGTAGATGTTCACTCTGTTAAAGACATCAGTTTGTTGTGACTATCACTGTACAAGTGCTGCTACAGGGGATACAGTACTTATAGCTTAAGAAAATTCTGGCTTAATATTGAAGTGGCCCTAGGTGGTAAAAGATGAGATTTCCACTATGCCTCTTCAAATGACCTGACAGCTCTGGAGGAAATATACCCTCTTGGGAGCTATGCAGCCAGCAGATGAATGTTTGTAGTGACACCGGAGAGCCTTTTACCAAACTATAATTCAGCAGGAATTTATTAGTCAAATTTATTAGTCAGCAGGAATACTGTGTTCAGGGACATTTTACTAACAGTGTGAGGTTTTTAAATGTTAAAATCTTAAATTAAAATAAGTAAAGGGGAATACAGCAGCAATAACATGAAATGAAAGTCCCTTTCATTACTACATTTTCCCCTGTAATAGTGAGCTAAGCCCTCAGGACTAAAGTAAAATACATTGCAGTGTGTGCCAGTCGTGTTTTTTTCTCTTCCTCGGTATATTGTCTGTGGTGTGATAAAATGGTGCACACAAAGCTTGAATAAGTAATAACTCACTGTCTCTATTGCAGGTACAAAGATTCCTAGTAGAATGCTATAAAGATAAAGGTTTATGGTTGGCAACTACGCAGCACCTTAGACACACTGTCTGGCCTGCTGAAGAGTTCATACCTTGTTCAAATCAAACAGCAATGTGCTATGGACACTTCTACAAATATGTTTTTAAAGAAATGTAGTATAGTTTTAAACATCATATTTGCCAAATAATATTCTTTACTGCCCTTTGTGGAAAGAGTAATAATTCAGCACCTCAGCAGTCATTTTGGTTATGCTAATAGATACATAATGATTTGCTAGGAAGAAATTGCTATTTTCACAGACAAAAATACAAAAGGGAAGGCCTGCCAGTATTAATGGTAGTGAACCCTTAGGTGTCATTATTGACAAAAATAAGATGGTGAAACTTTAACACCTCTGTTGGCAGAACCAATCTAGTGACAAAATAGCTGCTTTTTGCATCCTTGGCCTTTGGTCAATGCTTTACCTAAATGCAAAGGGTTCTCACATTTCTCTTTTATTGGACAAACTTCAGATATTACCTTGCCTCACCCACCTTGTCTCTCTAATGACATGGCTACAGCTACACTACATATATGACAAGATACGTTTAAAATATCAGAGTAAGGAAACTGCAAGGGATCTGGTTTCTTGGGATTGTGGAAGGAAAGATAAATGCTGAGCTACCAAGAAGTCAGTCAGGAAAACAGAAATCTACAAATACAAAAACAGTTCTTCATTTTGTTATCATTTCCTAAAATTTAAAAAGATAACCCTTTGTTAACCGAGACTCTGGCTTTTCTAGAATGGAGTCCACCTACTGACAGCAGCTCCATGGTCTGCGATCATGGCCAATAAAGGGTTAATGTTCATAAAAGAAGTTCTACTATGTGGGAGGCATTTTTCACACTGACACTTCATCTAAAAGCTTTCACGAAGAAATGGTTCTGAGATGTGAGCTCAACCCCTTTCCAAGATGAGAAACATCTCTCTGTAAAAACAGATTTGATCTAATGGGAGTTTAGAAGTATGGTACTACATGTTCTCTACGGAGGATGTTCATTGTCACTAAATTCTAATTGTTAGACTGTGCTGTATCCATGGCTTAAGAGAAAAATCAATATACACCGCAAAACTAGCCAAGGTCTTTGTAAAGTCTTCATAATCCTCAGAAATTATGTGGTTTACACTGCATAACACCTGAAAACTGGGTGATTGAGGGGTAAGAGTGGACAACGTGGGAGCCTCTCTAGGGTTTCAGAGTAGAGGAGGTGATAGTGAGCAGGGTGTCAGCAATCAGAAACTGAAAAGGGCACAAGCCATACAGGAAAAAGAGAGACAGAAGAAGCAGCAGCTGGGGAGAAGGGAAGGGTAGCACCTGGGAGATTACTTGGATGGTAGGCAGGGTAGAGTTCTGGCTGATGGGAGGCATACGTGGAGGGAAATGGGAAACAGTTGTCGTGTTGAAGCTAGAGGAACTGGATACTGAGGCTAGTGTAATTTTCAGAAAAAGAGGGAAATCATTGGAGGATTAGACAACTAGGAGGGGTTCAGTCACTCTATAGTAGGGAGGATCAGCAGGTGTTGCAAGGGACAGTGAATGAACCTTTAAATTAAAAATAATTTAAAATAATTCATTAATTTAATTCAAACTCAGTTTTATATCCAGGGCACTAATGAGGAACTCTCTAAATCAGGGGCTAAATTCTGTTCTGACTTACATTCCCTGCAGTTCTACTGATTTCAATTGCCACAGGACTTTACAAGATAA